GTGAGCTCTCTCTCTCTCTCTCTCTCTCTCTCTCTCTCTCTCTCTCTCTCTCTCTCTCTCTCTCTCTCTCTCTCTCTCTCTCTCTCTCTCTCTCAGAACTTGGTCCAGAAAACTTGCAGCAGCGATGGAAGATTCTATGTCTAGACTGTTCTGTGATGATGGGGGTGTGGCTACTGCAACTGAGAAGCTGAACTTTGGATCCGAGTTGTTTTGATAAATGGAAGTGGCCACACGATGGTCACAGCACAGCCCCATGTCATGACCCTTCTGAGTCCCAGTTCATTTCCTCTGTCTAGAGAGAAGACCTCGGGACCTGGGGGTCAGCTGCACCACAGCCCAGGTGACAAGTGCTTCTGTCTCTGTGGGGGTTCTGGCGGCTCCCTCTCTGCCTCTGGGTCTGATACTGGAGGTTTTCAGGAGAAGCCATGGCCTCAGCCACAGCCACCCAGAAGATGAGGGAGGAAGCCACCTGCTCCATCTGCCTGAGCCTGATGACTGAGCCGCAGAGCATCAGCTGTGGACACAGCTTCTGCCAGCGGTGCTTAGAGGGCTTCCTGGACAATCACGGTCACCAGCAGCCAAATCTGCGCCAGCACCCCTGTCCCCAGTGCCGGGCTCCATTCAACAGGACAAGCCTGCGGCCCAACAAGCAGCTGGGGAGCCTCATTGAGGCCATGAAGAAGCTGGACCTGGAGATGATGTGCAAGGAGGACGGGGAGAAGCTGCACCTCTTCTGCGAGGACGACGGCCAGCTCATCTGCTGGCGCTGTGAGCGGTCACCACAGTACAAAGGACACGACACTGCACTTGTGGAGGACGCGTGCCCGGGCTACAAGGTGAGAGTGCTGGCTTGGGACGGGGCTTCAGCATGTCCCCGCTGTTATTACTGCCCAGACCTCAGGTCATCAAGTCGGTCTCGGTCCCCCGAGCCTGCACCCTGAAGGATGGCTTTCCCCATCTCCCACTTCTGGAAAATTCCTGAATGTGGGTCCTCCCTGGTCAAGTCCCCACTGTCCATCCTGACCTCACATGACCTCACATGGGACAGTCAGACTCGTCCCTGTGCACTCACCCAGCAGGACCTTCTCCCAGCTCTAGAACAATGTCCCCAAACTCACACCCACTCACTCTATTGCCTCACACTGTGTGTGAGATTTGAGGCACCGCAGGAAACAAAGACACCACATTTCAGATGTCCCCCACCAAACCAGGGAAGACACAGACCATCAGAGGGCAGCCCAGAGACCCCTGGTGTGGGGGGTTGGGGTGACTCCAAAGGGCACACAAAAACTCACCGTATACAGAAGTGTGGAGGGAAGTGAGAGCATCCCAGGCCCAGGGCACCACAGGGCAAAGGCACAGTCGAGGGAGCTGAGCTGACTTATCGTACCTGAGAGGCAGGTACCAGCTCAGGTCCAAGTCCTGCCCAGAGTGGTCCAGGCCTCGGGGACTGGCATGTGCAGAGTGAAAGTGACACTGAAAAGAGCCTCCTGGCAGTGACACCATAGAAGGAATGTCAAGGAAAAGATTCTGATCATTTCTGTAAGAGGGAGGGGGCGCCGTTTTGAGCAAGATTCAGGAAGGGGTTGAAGGACATGGAAATGGCCGTGAGGAAGCTGACCCTGGCTGTGGGGGCGTGGGCTGAGGACACTGTCCTGCTGTAGTACTCCTTCTCTGCCCTGTCCACATCTAAGGAAAATGTCCCCAGGGAGAGATCCTGTTTTGTCCTCCACGAGGCCGAGGTGGCCTTGTATTGAACGAGACCAGCTCGCTTAACCAAATGCCCCTGGTTCGTCAGCCAGAAGCACACCTGGGAGGGCTGGGTGGGAGACGAAGAAAGAAAGAGATAGAGACAAAAGCTGGGAGCAGGAGGTCCGCTCAGTGCTGATGGCAGAGAGTGGCCCCGTTTATTGTTTGGACACAGCTTTTATAGCAAAAGTAGCTTTCCTTAGGTTGGGGTTTTGGGGGAGCTTGAGGAAGTAGTTCCCTCCTCTCAGGGAGCAGCTCTCTTGGGGCTTTCCATGGGGTGTGGGGAAGCAATCTCCCCGAAGTGACACAAAGCATAGCGAGCAGAAACTGTTAACAGGATTCCATTTCATTCTGCGACTTTCAAGGTCATTGGCTGTTTTCTCTTCAGCGGCACAGTGGAGATGAGATCTATCCAGCAAGCTCCCTGTGCTGCTCAGCCGGGCCTGAGAGACTGTCAGCTTGCCAGCTGTCAGACTTAAGCCTCACTGCAGACCTCCTGCTCTCCACATTGTATCACTGTCCTGGGCGTCCCTCAAACCCATGGGCAGCTCATTAGAGGAAAGGGGACATTAACCACCAGGTAGCCAGTAAAGGACAGCACAGGGGGTTGGTGCTGAGCCTTAGGAGTCGGACTGGTGGGTTTGAAATCTTAGCTCTGCACCTGACCTAATGGGTAACTCTCAGCCAGTTATTTAGTGTCTGCATTTCCCCATCTGTAACTGGGGACAACAGCAGCCCTTTGCTAACAAGCATCACAGCCCGTTCTCGCCAGCACACTTGGTGAGTGTGCTGCTGGGTGACAGACGACAGGACCTTGTTCTTTCAGTTTGAACCTAGACTAGCAATCTGGTTCTGCTACAAACTTCTTTCATGAGAACATGAGAAACTGTTTTGAAAAATAACCTGAAAGCTTGATTTGGACACTAGCTCGTTTTAAATGGGCTTCACGGGACCATCCTTGAAAGGGTACTAGAGCATCCCTTCTCCAAGCACTGCTTCTGACAGCTCAGCAGGTGCCCTGGCCTTTCCTCCCTGACTCACCAAACACCGCCAGTGAGCCACTGTGTGCCAGAGCGCTGCCACGTCCAGGTCAGCACGCTGTTCTATGAATTCTCTCAGATGATTACCATGCTCTGTGCCGCGTCTCCCTGGCAGGATGGGCGTGGGGGGCTAGACCTCAGCAGGTGACGTTGGGCTCACAGTGCAACCGCCTCCCAGTCATAGCCCCTTGGGCAAATCGCAGAACCCCTTCCTCAGCCTCAGTTTCTGCAGCACTGAATGACGTCAGAGCCCTACCAGTGCTCAGGGGTGTCAAGGGCATCAGATATGTCCCTGCACATACAGTCCTCAGCAGGCTCCTCACACAGTGTGAGGACTCGGTAAACATCCAGCGTCATTCCCACAGTCTCAGATGGCTAGGGTTCCCCTGGGTGCCCAGTGAGGAGCTGCCAAACTGAATCGACTTGTTCACCCCATTTTCCTCCAGGAACTGCTCCAGGAAGCTGTGTCTAATTTGAGAGAACTGGAAAAGGAGTGTAGGAATCAGAATATGTTCGTGACAAAGCAAATAGCTGAATGGAACGTAAGAATCGGGGTTTATTGGTTCAAGCTCTTTTCCCCCATAGAGCTTAGGCAGAGGGGCTGATCGGGCACATGGGGTTGGTTCCCACGAAACGAGACCGGACAGGTGGAACCCCAACAAGAAGTCCTGATTCAATTTTATCCCCTTCATTGTCTGCATCTTTGAGAATCTGTCTCCTACCCTTCAGCGTCTCAGTAATCATTGGCTAGGATTCCCGACCCCTCAGTCAGAAGAGGCAGCGTGGGTGAGTCTGTTCACCTAGAGCCGTCCTCAGTGGGTTTCAGTCTCTCAGCACCTCCGAGGACCTTCCTAGTCTGAAGGCCTCAACCTCAGCACCTTGGCACATTTACCACTTCACAGGTGCCACTCTCGGCCTCACAGGCTCAGGAACCAATGCAGGTGGACAGTCCTGAGTCATCTCATGTCTGAGAAAGCACGTGTCTTTCATTTATAAGGACAATCACGTCTGCTGCAAGAGCCACACACTTACCACGGCCGACTCTGGGTCTCTAACTATTTCCATGGTCAGACATGCATTCCTTCAGGGAAATAGTTACGTGACCCATCACTGGCCGGCGATCCATAGAGCCTGGGTCACAGGTCTCTCCCCACCTCTGCCCTGACGAACATTAGGTGTGACCTCTCTGAGGACACTGCTACTCCCCTCATTTCTGGGATCCTGGTGGGGGCAGGGCCTCAATGATAACTAATGGAAACACCATCCATGACCCTCCTACCCCAACACCATGGTCACTGAAACACCACACACCCACAAAAGCACTCGTGGAAATAGTAGTTTCCGTGTCTCCCAAAATGAAAGCTGAGTCCTACAGAATACCTCATCTGGTTTTGGTTGGTTCTACACATAGGTATGATTATGTGAACCCCGGGCTGGTGATAAACATGTCCAGTTACCTGGGATAAATGCCTGCTACCCAGATGTCTCCTGCTGAGAAACTGGGACCCTCCTACTGGCCTGGCTGACCTAACATCCAGTCTTGGTGTGATGCTCATTACAAGCTATTGCTCCAGGAAATTCCCCCAGACTCACACCTGCCTTCTCACCCCCCTCATCAGGACTCCTTTCATCATTGTAACAGAGTGCTGGCCTCAGCCGTAGTCCCTTGGTTACATTATCCAGTGCTCCTGCCCCTCCTTACACCTGCCTCTTGGCTGAAAAATAAGGAAACAAATCAGGTGACCATAGAGGTCCTGGCTCCTGCACCCAAGTGCCTCCCAGGTGTGACAGCAGCAAGGAGATAGGGACATTCTTCCAGCTTGATCGCTCACTTGCAAATAATTTCACAGCAGTTGAGCAAACTATCTCTTGTATGTGCATGTGCGTTAAAATATCCATAACACAAAATATACCATTAACACCATTTTTAAGTGCCCATTTCAGTGCCATTAAGTACTTTTATATTGTTGTGCAGGCGTCACCACCGTCCATCTCCAGAACTTGTCTTCATCCCAAACTGAAACTCTGTCCCCATTGAACTCCAACTCCCCACCCCATCCTCTCAGCTCCTGGCACCTCTATTCTTCTTTCTAGCTCTATGACGTGACCACTCTAGGTCCCTCCCATTAGTGGGATCACACAGCACGTGTCCTTTTGTGTCTGGCTTATTGCACACGGCATCCTGTCTTCAGAGTGTGTCTTGTGGTAGCACGTGTCAGAATTCCTTCCTTTTTATGGCTAAAGAGTGTTCCGCTGTATCTGTGAGTCACACTCTGTTGATCACTCAACGGTCTCTGGTAACACGGGTTGTCACCTTCTTCTGAACACCCTTTTTGACTCCAGAGGAAGGTGGAGCTTCACAGACAGAAAATCCAGGATGACTTCAAAAATTTGCAGAGCTTCCTGCGGGAGGAGGAGAAGTCTTTTCTGTGGAGACTGGAGAAGGAGAACGAGCAGACTCTGAAGGTTCTGAGGGACAGCGAGGCCAGTCTGAAGCAAAAGAGGCGTGAACTGAACAGGCAGATCCAGGACCTGGAGGACAGGTGTCAAGGCTCAGCCCAGAAGCTGCTGCAGGTGAGGCTGAGCACTCGGAAGAAGGAAAGGAGGGGGTCTGTCCCTGAGCGATGGAGGGGACAATGGTGAGGCAGTGTGGGGAGATAGGCGAGCCCACCAGCCTTGATCAAAGGTGGCACATCAGGTGGGGACTTGAAGTGGCCTTTCTTTTAGGTGCAGATCCATGTCTGCTAGGTGGCTTCACTAGTCTATAGGCATCTTTACAAGGATTAGACCAACATGCCCCCTGGATCCATATGTGGAGTTGCTCGGCCTAAGAGACCTTGGAATAACTTCTGCCTCCGTTTGTCTCATTCATGTGCCCAGAACCCTGGCATCAATCTCCTGAAATACTCGTCCAGTTGACTGTGGGTGAGGAGGTGAGGCAGCCAACATGAACAGGAACCTTTGCCCTGATTTGCTTACAACAGCCCTGGTGCCTGGGCTCTTAGGGAGCCTGTTAGGATGAAGCACACCTGGCTTTTTATTTCAGTCTCACTAACAAGGCTGCAGGTCACCCCATGAGGTTGTGAGCATAGTGTGAGCACTCCACCACCACCTGCTGCCACCACCGTGGTGGCCCAGCCTCGGGGAGTTGTGACTAGGAAGGCAGTTAGAACAAAGAGAGCCAGGCTTGCCCGAGGGAGCATGGGGTGACCAGCTGGCCCTGCTCCCCAAGCAGCCCACAAGCTCCACAGCCTCAGCAGGACGATGGAGACTCAGGTGGATCCACATCCCACCGTGATGCACACCCCGGGCTGGGGTGGGCACCGTCCCTTCTGGGCACCCACTGTGCCCAAGGCCGGGCCCCTGTCTTCGTTCCTTTGGAAGGAGTGTTCCTAGATGGCGAANTGTCCCTGCACATACAGCCCTCAGCAGGCTCCCCGCACAGTGTGAGGACTCGGTAAACATCCAGCGTCATTCCCACAGTCTCAGATGGCTAGGGTTCCCCTGGGTGCCCAGTGAGGAGCTGCCAAACTGAATCGACTTGTTCACCCCATTTTCCTCCAGGAACTGCTCCAGGAAGCTGTGTCTAATTTGAGAGAACTGGAAAAGGAGTGTAGGAATCAGAATATGTTCGTGACAAAGCAAATAGCTGAATGGAACGTAAGAATCGGGGTTTATTGGTTCAAGCTCTTTTCCCCCATAGAGCTTAGGCAGAGGGGCTGATCGGGCACATGGGGTTGGTTCCCACGAAACGAGACCGGACAGGTGGAACCCCAACAAGAAGTCCTGATTCAATTTTATCCCCTTCATTGTCTGCATCTTTGAGAATCTGTCTCCTACCCTTCAGCGTCTCAGTAATCATTGGCTAGGATTCCCGACCCCTCAGTCAGAAGAGGCAGCGTGGGTGAGTCTGTTCACCTAGAGCCGTCCTCAGTGGGTTTCAGTCTCTCAGCACCTCCGAGGACCTTCCTAGTCTGAAGGCCTCAACCTCAGCACCTTGGCACATTTACCACTTCACAGGTGCCACTCTCGGCCTCACAGGCTCAGGAACCAATGCAGGTGGACAGTCCTGAGTCATCTCATGTCTGAGAAAGCACGTGTCTTTCATTTATAAGGACAATCACGTCTGCTGCAAGAGCCACACACTTACCACGGCCGACTCTGGGTCTCTAACTATTTCCATGGTCAGACATGCATTCCTTCAGGGAAATAGTTACGTGACCCATCACTGGCCGGCGATCCATAGAGCCTGGGTCACAGGTCTCTCCCCACCTCTGCCCTGACGAACATTAGGTGTGACCTCTCTGAGGACACTGCTACTCCCCTCATTTCTGGGATCCTGGTGGGGGCAGGGCCTCAATGATAACTAATGGAAACACCATCCATGACCCTCCTACCCCAACACCATGGTCACTGAAACACCACACACCCACAAAAGCACTCGTGGAAATAGTAGTTTCCGTGTCTCCCAAAATGAAAGCTGAGTCCTACAGAATACCTCATCTGGTTTTGGTTGGTTCTACACATAGGTATGATTATGTGAACCCCGGGCTGGTGATAAACATGTCCAGTTACCTGGGATAAATGCCTGCTACCCAGATGTCTCCTGCTGAGAAACTGGGACCCTCCTACTGGCCTGGCTGACCTAACATCCAGTCTTGGTGTGATGCTCATTACAAGCTATTGCTCCAGGAAATTCCCCCAGACTCACACCTGCCTTCTCACCCCCCTCATCAGGACTCCTTTCATCATTGTAACAGAGTGCTGGCCTCAGCCGTAGTCCCTTGGTTACATTATCCAGTGCTCCTGCCCCTCCTTACACCTGCCTCTTGGCTGAAAAATAAGGAAACAAATCAGGTGACCATAGAGGTCCTGGCTCCTGCACCCAAGTGCCTCCCAGGTGTGACAGCAGCAAGGAGATAGGGACATTCTTCCAGCTTGATCGCTCACTTGCAAATAATTTCACAGCAGTTGAGCAAACTATCTCTTGTATGTGCATGTGCGTTAAAATATCCATAACACAAAATATACCATTAACACCATTTTTAAGTGCCCATTTCAGTGCCATTAAGTACTTTTATATTGTTGTGCAGGCGTCACCACCGTCCATCTCCAGAACTTGTCTTCATCCCAAACTGAAACTCTGTCCCCATTGAACTCCAACTCCCCACCCCATCCTCTCAGCTCCTGGCACCTCTATTCTTCTTTCTAGCTCTATGACGTGACCACTCTAGGTCCCTCCCATTAGTGGGATCACACAGCACGTGTCCTTTTGTGTCTGGCTTATTGCACACGGCATCCTGTCTTCAGAGTGTGTCTTGTGGTAGCACGTGTCAGAATTCCTTCCTTTTTATGGCTAAAGAGTGTTCCGCTGTATCTGTGAGTCACACTCTGTTGATCACTCAACGGTCTCTGGTAACACGGGTTGTCACCTTCTTCTGAACACCCTTTTTGACTCCAGAGGAAGGTGGAGCTTCACAGACAGAAAATCCAGGATGACTTCAAAAATTTGCAGAGCTTCCTGCGGGAGGAGGAGAAGTCTTTTCTGTGGAGACTGGAGAAGGAGAACGAGCAGACTCTGAAGGTTCTGAGGGACAGCGAGGCCAGTCTGAAGCAAAAGAGGCGTGAACTGAACAGGCAGATCCAGGACCTGGAGGACAGGTGTCAAGGCTCAGCCCAGAAGCTGCTGCAGGTGAGGCTGAGCACTCGGAAGAAGGAAAGGAGGGGGTCTGTCCCTGAGCGATGGAGGGGACAATGGTGAGGCAGTGTGGGGAGATAGGCGAGCCCACCAGCCTTGATCAAAGGTGGCACATCAGGTGGGGACTTGAAGTGGCCTTTCTTTTAGGTGCAGATCCATGTCTGCTAGGTGGCTTCACTAGTCTATAGGCATCTTTACAAGGATTAGACCAACATGCCCCCTGGATCCATATGTGGAGTTGCTCGGCCTAAGAGACCTTGGAATAACTTCTGCCTCCGTTTGTCTCATTCATGTGCCCAGAACCCTGGCATCAATCTCCTGAAATACTCGTCCAGTTGACTGTGGGTGAGGAGGTGAGGCAGCCAACATGAACAGGAACCTTTGCCCTGATTTGCTTACAACAGCCCTGGTGCCTGGGCTCTTAGGGAGCCTGTTAGGATGAAGCACACCTGGCTTTTTATTTCAGTCTCACTAACAAGGCTGCAGGTCACCCCATGAGGTTGTGAGCATAGTGTGAGCACTCCACCACCACCTGCTGCCACCACCGTGGTGGCCCAGCCTCGGGGAGTTGTGACTAGGAAGGCAGTTAGAACAAAGAGAGCCAGGCTTGCCCGAGGGAGCATGGGGTGACCAGCTGGCCCTGCTCCCCAAGCAGCCCACAAGCTCCACAGCCTCAGCAGGACGATGGAGACTCAGGTGGACCCACATCCCACCGTGATGCACACCCCGGGCTGGGGTGGGCACCGTCCCTTCTGGGCACCCACGATGCCCAAGGCCAGACCCTTCTCTTCATTCCTTTGGAAGGAGTATTCCTAGAGGGTGGACCCAGGTGCCAGGCTTCCTGGAATCCTGATGTCCCCACACTCACCTTTCATCTTTTTTCTCTGTAGGGCGTGAAGGGCGCTTTGAGCAGGTGAGTGTTGTAGGAATGCAGGAGGAAGGGCATGGGGACACAGAGCTGATGGGACGCACCGCTAAGAAGTGTCCGGCCTCTGCTTGTCCCAGGAGCTCGGCTGTGAAACTGGATACACCGGAGGCCCCATCTTTGCAGATTCAGACTGTCTGCGATGTTTCTGAGCTTTACTTTGATGTGAGACAGCTGCTGAGGGGCTATCAAGGTACGTGAGCGTGTTCTCCAGGTATGAAACACATACATGCTCATTCCATCCCCTACCAATCCGTGGGACAGATGGGATCATTCCTACTTCTATGTCACAAAGCGAGGCTCATGGGGTACCTGCCTGGGCTCACACAGCTGGTCAGAAACAATGCTCAGATATGATCACTGGCTGGTTTTATCCCATATTAACTGTGCTCTTGGTGACAAAACCATCTTTTACTTTTCCTTTCAGTCAATGTGACTCTGGATCCAGAGACAGCTCATTGTGCCCTAATTCTGTCTGAGGATCAGAGACATGTCACTTGGGGAAGTCCCCAGCGTGATGTGCACAATTCTCCCAGGAGATTTACCGCCTACCCCTGTGTCCTGGGCCACGAGGGCTTCGCGTCGGGACGACATTACTTTGAAGTGTATGTGGGAGAAGGGATTCAGTGGGAGCTAGGTGTTTGTATGGAAAATGTGCAGAGGGATATTCGCACGAGGCTGATCCCCCAGTCTGGGTTCTGGGCCATCAGTTTGAGCACCAAGGCCAGCTTCTCAGCACTGACATGTCCCCCAACTTCCCTTCACCTGCGGGAGCAGCTCCTGCTTGTGGGGGTTTTCCTGGACTATGAGGCGGGAGTCGTCTCCTTTTACAACATGACCTCGGCCTCCCACATCTTCACCTTTCCCAGGGCCTCTTTCTCGGGTACGCTGCGGCCCTTTATTTATGTTTATCCCACGTCTCCCCTGTCGCTGCGTCCCCCAGATGAGTAAACAAAGGCACAGTCTCCTTCTTGGTTTCACCAGCATCGAGAAAATAATATGAATCCTGTGAGGCAGAATGTGGTCTGTTTTCTTCCCGCTATTTCCATGTACCTTCAACAGTGTGGACGGGGCCTCTAGTGGGTCCTTAATAAAAGTGCTTTGAATGAGTAGCTGTAAGGACTGTGACAACAACATGGCTGGTCCGTTAGGAGGGAAGCAAGATAATCGCAGTGACCAGACCTTGTCCTCTCCATCCCCTTCCATGGGGTCAGAGCTCTGATTTCTGAGAGTTCTTGGATGACAAGCAGGGTGACCCAGATGTCAGGTCTGAGTCCTCCCAGTTTATTCGACATCATTTGATCTTGGTGGGGGGATGAGGGAAAGATGTAACTCTCCGCCTACTGCAGGAAACTCAACAAAGCACTGAATCCTATGTGCACAGATAAGTTGGTGAACAGCCTGAGCCACGATGCTGAGTGTGGTAAGTGCAGAGGCTGTCAGACCTGGCGGAAACCAAGCCAAGTGTGAGAGAAGACTGAGACTGGGCTTAGAGTGAGATGCTGCGAAGGGGGAGGAGATGAAGAGGGAGAATGAAGTTTGCTGGGGGACACAGTCCTGGAATAGAAGCTGATGTTCTTCAGACTGGCTAGCACCACTGTCTTGAAATATTTCTAATCTCAGTCAACAGTTACTGCTGTCATGGTTGCTGGCTGTCTAGATTATCATTGAGATACAAACCAATAGGCTTTAATATTATGTGGGTTTACTTGGAAAAGTACATTTCATGTCACACCTAAATATTCAGACTTGAATTGGCTAATGACAGGACCATGATGCAGTCGCCAAAACATGTACAACATTAATGATGACTAAAACACGTCACAAAATCGCTGAACGTTATGATAGTTTCTGGTTGATATAAAACACGCTTTTCATTGATGTGGCAATTCTCTCACTTCATTTCTCTAGAATCAGTGGAAATAAAGCCAATGTGTTGTTTTGGGGTACTGGAGGCATGATTGGGCCTCTCCCTCCATCAGAGGAAGACATGGCAGAGGTCAGGCTATCACCCACTCTCACCAGTGTCATAAGTTCTCCGAGCCACACTGATAGAAACTGGGTATAACTGGAAAGTGATGAGCAGCAGAATACACCACCTCACATACGTCACTTGGGCATAAGATCTATATTGAGCCAAAGGCAGTTGAGAAAAAACAAATACAATAAAACTTCCTTGACCTCCTCTATTACCCTAAAAGTAGAACAAGAATTTGTAAAGTGTCCCCCCTCCTCTCTGTACCAGGAAAGACAGAAGCTAATCGCCAGAGACAACTCTACACCCTTATCAACCCAGACACAGCACCCAAGGGACCTACAGAACAAACCTTGTGAAAGCCAGGCTTTATTTTCTATTATTTCCTCATATCAGTCTTCCCACACTTGCAGCTTACGAAGTCCCTTTCCTTTGTCTTGTCACTTCTCTAAAAATCCTGTTTTTTGTTACGATGCTGTATAAGCCCAAGTCCCACCCTCTGCCCTGAGTTGCTGATGTCAGAGCATCTCCACCTGTACACAGGTACCCAGGAAAAGCGGCCTGTTTCTCCTCGGCTCTCACTGTGAACACACTCACAGCACTCCACTTCTGACACCACAGATGAAGGTATTTTTCACACACCAACTTGGGTGTCCTACAATTCAATTCAACTCTGACACTAACTGGAGTCAGACAGACCCCACAGGTTAAGGGTTCAGACCCACAAGACTGTCCCTGCCCACCCCCACCTCAGACACCAGTCACAAGTCCCGGTTGTCACTCTGGTTCTGACTGACCGGGTATAAATTGGAGGTTTCCATGACCCCTCTTAGGGTTCAATCATTTGCCAGGACAGCTCACAACACTCAGAAAATACTTTGTTTACTGGTTGATTGTTAGTAAAGAATATGACAAATGAGACTGATGAGCATCCAGATGAAAAGATACAGAGGACGAAGTCCAGAAGGGTCACTAGGACAAGAGCTTCTGTCCCTGTGGAGCTGGGAGGTGGCCGCCACCTGGCACGTGGATGTGTTCACCTTCCCAGAAGCTCTCTAAACCCTGAACTTTTGGATTTTTAGGGAGGCCTCATCATGCAGGCATGATTAATCATTAAGTTAATCCCCAGTTCCTCCTTCCTCCTTGAAATGCGGGGAGTAGAGCTGAACGTTCCAAGATTCTAATCATGGCTGGGAATTCCTGGTGACCAGCCCCACCTGAAGCCACACAGGCTACCACCCTAAGTGGCCTCATTAGAATAAAAAATGCTCCTATCACCCAGGAAATTGCAAGAAATTTAGGAAACCTATAACAGGAACCAGAGTCAAACAACAAATGTTTTAAATAAAGATGCCTCTTTTAACACTTTTATCACTTAGAAAATTACAAGCGTTTCAGGAGCTCTGTGCCAGGAACTGGGGGCAGAGCCTAATATAAATTCTATTATGTCATAGCATGCTAATAAAGCTCTGTGTTTCTCTTATTAATCTGTATTTTGTGAAACAAATATCAGGGCCTTAGTTAGAGAAGCTAAATAGGTAGAGGAAAAATATTTATTTTTCTCCTTACACAAGGAACGCCTGTGTTACTTGTCCCCTGTCCTCATGATCTGAGCACAGACCCACTTATGGAGTTTCTGACCCATTGAATGACTGGGAGACCCCCACCTTCACGCAGGACAAGTGAAGGCACAATCCTGACATCGCTAAGCTCACCTCTCCCTCGAGACCTCCTACAGCCCTGTCTGATCAAGGTGCATCCTGCCCAGTCGGGGAGGCCCCATGTACTGGCAGGGCTTAGAGTGGAGTATTCTGCTCAGAGGAAATTCTACATTCTGAAACACTTAAAGTGCTGAACAAGACAGGGTAGTGATAAAATAAACCTTCAACTAAAGAAAAATAATAAATTAACAAATTAAACCTTTGGGAATCGCATGGAAGAATAATAAAGATGAAAGTAGAAATTGAGAGACAAAGCCAAGATGGCGCAGGAGGTAAACGCTGTGCTTACCTTCTCTCACAACCACATCAAGATTACAGCTAACCAACAAAACAACCAGTATTGAGAATCATCTAAAATCAAGCTTAACCAACCTTTCAACTAAGGACATGCAGAACAAGCCACCTCCACACTGGTAGGAAGGTCAGAGATGTGGAACGGGCTGGAACCACACCTGCATGTGAAAATTAAACATAAGGAGGAATATTGCAGCTGTGGGGATGACCCCATTTCCTGAAGGAGTGAGGGATCCCAGCCCCACCCCAGCCGAGGGTTCCAGTGCTGTGGAGAGAACTCCCTATAATTTTTGGTTGTGGAAACCAGCAGAGATTGTGACGAATGAGACTGGGTGCAGCTGCAATCACAGGCTCTCCCTTTAAGAAGTCCACTAACACTTACCCACCAATAGAATCTCTGGCTCGGACCCATCGTGCTGGAGCAGCAACAGGAAAAGCGGCAGAGAAAAGGTGGGGAATTGAGTTGTCTGGCTTAAGATGGGGGCTGGAAAGGCAGATTTCTCCTGCATTGAGGAGCTGTTGGAGGCCATTATTTCTCTGCTGAGCCCTCCCCTTCCTGGCGTGCAGACGCAGGTGGCTGTCATATCTGAGTCTCTGCCATTAGTTTGCCCCACTCTGACGATTTGAGACCTGGCTCTGCCCAATTTTAGGGCACACTCAGCCTGCTTCAGTGTCTCATTCATGCAGACTGCCTGCTTTGGTCAACCTGCAGTCTTTCCTAAGTTGCCTCAAAGATACACACAAACCAGACAAGTAGCACCTGGCTTAGTGTGTCCTGTACCTCTATGGCTGAGCAGTTCTAAGCTGGCACTAGCGGGAACCAGCCTTGGGTCACAGCTTGGGCTCTGAGGGTGCTTGCAAGCACAGCACGGGCTTCAGCCATCTACACATTTTTTTCTAGTTCCCACTGGGTGTGCCCCTGGTGGGGCACAGGATGTGGCTGAAGTAGACCTACAGCGGATCCCCTCCAAGGTGGTCCTGGGGGTGGCACCCCCAGTGTCCAGATTCAAAACAAGCTGGAAAATCACCCAGCAGCCTCAAAGTACGACACACCCAAGGGGCAGATTGCACAGGTGCCAGAGCCCAGCTGAGGCTGATCATGTTCTGTAGGCTCAGCCCCTGCACAACAACTCTTCCACTCTTGTCAAGACCAGTCCGCACAACGAGTGAGCCCAAGGGTCAGTCCCTCACATTGATGTGCAATTATCAACCAAGGCTCAACTATAAGAGGAGAGCACACACAACCCACACAAGGGACACACCTGGAGTGCGTGGCTCAGGTGACCAGAAAGACTGCGCCACTGGACCCAACAGCACACCTACTACATAAGGTCACTCTACTAAGACCAGAAGGCATAGCAGCCCTACCTAATACATAGAAACAAACACAGGGAGGCACCAAAATGGGGTGACAAGGAAACATGTCCCAAATGAAAGAGCAGAACAAAGCTCCAGAAAAACAACTAAGCTAAATGGAGATAAGCAATCGATCAGACATAGAGTTTAAAACACTGGTTGGAAGATTGCTCAATGACCTCAGGGAGAACTTCAACAGAGAGACAGGAAGCATAAAAGTGGAGATAGAAATCATAAAAAAGAACCAGTCAGAAATAAAGGGTACAATAATGGAAACAAAGAATATATTATAGGGAATCAACAGTAGATTAGATGAAGCATCTAACAAGTGACATAGAAGATAAGGTAGCAGAAAACACCCAATCCGAACAGCAAAAAGTAAAAACAATCCAAAAAATTGAGGAGAGTTTAAAGAGCCTCTGGGACAATATCAAGCATAACAACATTCACATTATAGGAGTACCAGAAGGAGAAGAGAGACACAAGGAATTGAAAACCTATGTGAAGATGTAATGTCAGAAAACTTCCTAAGCTGGTGAAGGAAATGGGCATACAAGCCCAGGAAGCACAGAGAGTCCCAAACAAGATAAACCCAAAGAGGCCAACACCAAGACACATCATAATGAAAATGCCAACGTTTAAATACAAAGAGAGAACCTTAAAAGCAGCAAAACAACAACAACAAAAAAGCAGTTAGTTACATACAAAGAGCCCCCATAAGACTGTCAGCTGATTTCTCATCAGAAACTTTGCAGGCAAGAAGGGA